TTTGTCCTAAGGCAAAGCTCTGTTAAGAAATACTCCTTGAGACCAGCTTTCATCTGTCTGGAGATCACTTTCCCACCTGTGAAGCAATCCTAGGGAAATCAAGTAACTCAGTATAAATACCTAGACAGTAGAAAGAAAACCGTACACTGTGATATCCTATCATAGCATGACTGCATGTAACTTTTCATGCAAAGATTGTCAGGCTTCTATTTTTACATTAGGAAATATATCTCCAGTAGATTATATGGCAGGGTTTTATGAGGACATTATTTTGAGAATAGTGAAAACTAGAGGCAAAAATTTTCTTTCAAAAGCCAAACCTCTATCCTTGATTACTTGGCTACCAAAGTGACAATTAATCCACCAGTACCATTAAGAATTATATCTTTCTTCTTGCTTTCTCCTTGGGTAATAAAACCCTAAGGATTTAGTATGCTTGTCATGTATGCTTCCCCTGCCAAAGCAGCGATAATAGAATGGGTTGGGTTGGACAGGACCATACCCCTGCTGCGAGCAGAGGCACCTTCCACTAGACCAGGTTGCTCATCCAGCCCAGCCTTGAACACTTCTAGGAATGGGCCATTCACAGCTTTTCTGGGCAACCAGTTCCAGTGCCTCACCACCCTCATAGTGAAGAATTTCTTCCAAATATCTAATGTAAATCTACCCTCTGTCAGTTAAAAGCTGTTCTCCCTTGTGCTATCACTATATATCCTTGTAAAAAGTTCCTCTTCACCTCTCTCACATTTGAGTACTGGAAGGCCACTATAAGGTCTCCCCAGAGTCTTCTCTCTCAGCCTCTTTTCACAGGAGAAGTGCTCCAGACCTCTGAGTGTCATTGAGGCTCTCTGGACTCACTCCAACAGATCCACATCCTTCTTATGCTCTGGGGCTCCAGAGCTGGATGCAGCACTTCAGGTGGGGACTCAGATGAGCAGAGTAGAGGGGGAGGAACCTGTCCCTTGACCTTTCTGGCCATGATTCTTTTGATGCAGCCCAGAATACGGTTGGCTTTCTGGGCTATGGACGCACATTACCAAGTTGAGCTTCTTGTTAATGTTAAGACAGCGCAATAAGAGTAGACTTTTGCCAAATCTTTTTGTCTACAAAAGGCCCCAATAGTCACAGCATATGTTTGTTTTTTTGGTATGGGGTATATGTTTTGTTTAGCACTCAGTGATATGTGGAGGGACTTCACATGGTCTTAACTGAGAGTTTCTAAATGAATTTTTCTTGCCATTGTGCACTGAATTAAGCCAATCGCTTAGATAAATTTTCACTATAACAATACTCTTCAGTTTTATTGGAACTTTTGAAAATGAGGTATTACATGTTTCAATAGCCTAGATTATATTTTAGGTATGAAACTCATGGTTAGAAGGGTCTGACTTCAGGAATTTAGACACTTAAAGTGGTATCAGAATCTGTATCTGTAGTGGAGTGATTGATGAAAGTGATTTTTCAAAAAACCAAAAGTATAAACAATCCTTGAATAAGAAAAAAATCCTACTCAGAGGCATTTCTGGTACTATCAAGTTTCCTCTTTCAGCCATGAAAGTGATAACGATGCTCTGACATATGAGTTTGCCTTCAGATTTTGGAAACGGTTTTACTTGAAAGTGAATTTTCATTTTTGTTCTCCTGTTATTGATCTGTGGTGACTCTGTGTTAGGTAAGGTTTTTTCCTGTATTGATAAGATTTGTAGGAAATCCCTTGCTGATCATTTCACTTATTAAGTTTTAAAGCTTTGGTATCCTGGGCATTAAATGTAAATCTAATTAAATCTAAATGAATTTTTTTCAGGCTTCTTGCTTTTGATGCATTTACCAGAAAATTACTGCAAATGCAAATGAGTTTTTTGAGATAGGTTAACATAGAGGTAGGTATACAGAGAGGTAGATGTTGTAGAGGGAATGTCTTCAACACAAATTTGGATTTCTGCATTTCTAAAATATTTTTTTGGTATGTGATTATTATAATTGTTTCTTCAAGAACAGAAGAAAAAGATACGGTCTCCACCCCAGAGTCACTGTTGTAGAAGCTCCATTCACATCTTTCAATTCTTTTTTGTAAAAATATTTTTAGAAACCACCAAAGAAAGAAAAAAAAAAAACCTTGAGTAGAAAAAATCATTAAATCAGTTTTCCCTGTCTCTTACCATCTGGATTAATTATTACTACATCTGCAACCAGGTCTAAAGAATGCTTTAATTCTATCTCATCTGTCACTTTAAAAATAGTGTATTTAAACTCTATCCAGGAGTCACAATCGCTTTTTTAAAATTTTTTTGGATAGATTACCTTCTGTTTCAAATAGATTACGAAAGAAAATATTTTTTAATGTTTTATATTGACTTTGGTTTAGTTTTGCCATTTGCATATTGGTACCAGAGTGATGAAATTGAAAATGCATTTCTGAAAATGAAGATCAGGAAGGACAGTGTAGGGCACAGATATAAAGTACTACAGTATTACAGAGCACCTGCTACTTACTGATATTTATGTGCTTGAGCAGTTGATGGTACTTAAAACTGACACAGCACGTTGAGATTTATCAGAATGATAACCATGAGTCCCACAGACCATGCTCTGGGCTAAGAGAGTCACGGGAGAAATCTTGGCGGGAATGAAGTGTTGTGGCTGTAATTGTGACAGACAGGGATCTCTGCCAGTTCTACAAGCAAATAAATACATAAACTTTTTAACACCCTAAATGTAATGTATTTAGGCTCTTTTTACTTGCCTGATAAATATAAATTTTAAAATATGTGATGTTTTTGAAATTTTGCTTTTTGTTCTTTAACCTATTCTTCAGAAAAATGAGCTACATTAAAGGTCTTGCAAGCACATCAGATATCCTCAGGTGCTTCACTAAGTGGTCTGTTTTGAAATATAACACATACAGAAAGGTAACAGTTTATAACTTCAGGCAAGTTAACTAATTTTGAATAGAAACTTTGCTGCTTACCTGATTTAGTGTATCAGTGGTGGTAAAGAACAGTGCTTACTGTTTCAATAAACAAGGTTACCCTTACTACACAGTTATCTTTTATTTATATTTATTTATACTCCTTCACTTACCAGCTTTAAAAATATGGTTGATGAAGCTTGAAGAATATATCACTTTCACTGCAGACTGAAGTATTTTGCAATGGCTCAATTCAGGGCTAGCTAGAAGGTTACATATGTTTTAATGGCACATTTGTTTATCTCAGTTTTCAATTTTTCTTTTTCTTAGCTTCCTCCCATATGTAGTCACCTTTACAGATACTACTGCAGCACAAGAATACTCTTAAAATAGTACTCTACAAAGTCTATAAAGGAGTCAATATCTTTAATTATTAGCATCCTAACTCACATCTTGTTTGCTATATTTGTTATATGTAACTCTTGTTTGTTATTTTGAACCCCTGAAGATGTGCCACAGAATAGATTATATATTATAGTTATTACTATTACTGGAATGATCCATATTGAACATTGCTAGAGTTGTAGAGTATTGTACTTTTAATTAGTCAGATATAGAAGTTTTTCAGCTGTTCAGAGAAACTTCTGATGCTTTTACCACTTCCCATAACTTTGATCTCTGATTAAACTAAAATAATACTAACAGTTGTTTTTTGAAATTTTTGCTGCTTTGTAATTGTCTTTAAAAGCATCAAAGACTAGAATGAAATTGATATTCTTATAACTTAATTAAAATGTTGTTTTACTGCAGAACGCTAAGCATAACCTTCATGAGCAAAGTATGCATATGAAACAACTCATTATTAAACTGCAGGAAAGAATCTGCACACACAAAGATTCACATGTAGGGTACACTGAGGATAATGCTGGTGCATTTTGCAGCTTAATGTGAGAACACATGGTAACTTCATGTATATCTGCTTAAGTTGTTTTGATTGTAGCTCTTACACAATACAACCCTCTAAGAGTTAATGTATCATGTCTGTAATGCTGTCCAAGAGCTATACAAAAACAACTTTTGAATGACTAAAATCGAGGAATTTTATATTTTTTTAAAATGCATTTGTTTTTGTGCTCATTATATGCTCAACAGTACTTCTTGTCTTTTACCTGGCAGTTGGTTTGGGGTTTTTTGGTTTGGGGTTTTGGGGTTTTTTTAGTGGTCTGGGAAAGTTCCATATGTCATCACATACAAGAAATGCCATGTCTTTAGGGCAGATAGAGAACATGAGAAGACTCACAACCAACCCATGTTTCGTGAATTCTATGATAATGAATAATCATATGATAATTAATAACTTCCAATAAAGATTTTTCTGTGTAATTATATTCAGTTCCTAAGAATGCCTACAGTGATCATTTAGCAGTGTCCAGGTAAGTCCATGTTGAGCATCTGGCTCTTCTTTATAATTCCATTGTTTGACATATTAGTTTTGGGATTGAATCTTTTGGGAATTGGATGATGTAGGCTTCTTGAAACTTCCTGTTCTACTTCTTTCAAGGAAAATTCAGGGAAAGAGAAGGTGATGCTTTGATATCTGTTTCTTCTTCCTTTTTTTCTTTTTCTTCTTTTTTTTTTTAATTTTTTTAATTATTTCCTGCAACCATCTGGTTTTTTTTAGTTTGGTTTTATGCCAGAAAGTTCTTACTCGGGACAAAAGTAGCTTCACAGACAACACTGTGTGCTTCTTGCATCATCATAAAAAGGCACTGGATTTTTGCATAGGGATAACATTCCTTTGCACAACAGTCTTCAACAGAAAACAAAAATTACTGGTGACTTTCTTGTGACCTTTTTTTTACTGAATTATTTTTTAAAAGTATGGTTATTAATATCCTGATATTTAATAAGTAGCAGTTGAGATGGAAAGAAGCTAGAAGCTCAAAGATTTTTTTATTGTTTCTGTTTTATTGTTCTCTAATGCAGGATTTCGTGTGTGAGGTCACTCATTAATTGATAGCACTGCTTCCTGGAACATTTTCTGATTATTAGTGCTTATTGGTAGCATGTTGAAATTTTTATTTCATTATAGGTGCAGCCAAAATCTCAGTGAAGAGACACATTTCAAAGAATAACTAACAATGAAGTGACAAAGTATTACAAAAAAAAAAAACAACCAACAATGGAAACGTTTCAGTACCTCATCATGAAATTGAAATTTAAAGGCTTTCTAAGTTTTTGGACTACTTCAATTGAAAAATTTTGGTAGGTTTTTTTTTCTAGTGCACTTTCACTGTGCCCTGTATTCTGATTTTTCATTTAGCTCTATTGTGTATTCTCTCTAGGGAGGTTAGTAGCTTAACCTCATTTGTTATTAAGAAAAAAAAGACCAAAGGTCAGGGAAAGAATACCAGTCTTTAAAATGAAATCTTATGTATTTTTTCCTGAAGTCTTTTTATTCTATTATCTATCTGGGAGATCTTTAGTTTGTCACTAATAATGGGGAAAAAAAGCTTCAAAATAAAGTCTATGTAGTTTTCAAAGTATTATTTTCTTCAAAAGCAGGTTTACAATAACACTATCAGATCTTTTTCCTCGCAGAAGTTTATTATAGAACTTACAGTGAGCAGAGTAGACATTAATAGCACTATGTCTGGGGAGGGGCTGCCTTATCACCTGCAATATCCAAACTAACATCAGGACTATTTACAGTGGGAAGGAGTGCACTACAGTTATTGCTTAAAAACTGTCTGCTGTGACCGATTGAGGGCTTCTCTGCATGCATTGACTTGTCACCCAGTACCACTCTCCTTTTGGGACATGACCTATTGTTGCCAATGGCAGCTGTGAATATTTTATTACCTTACTAAGGTAGATGAGGCAATTCCATAGCTAGTAGCAGCTTACTTTTTCAGGCCTAGTCTCTGTTATAGGAAGTGTGAGAAAAGCCTCCACCTTTCAGATTTTTAAGGTTCTAGACTTTCTAAACTTTTCCGTGCCAGTTGACTTTACAAGCAGCATAGCAGCATGTTCTATTGCACTTTTGTCCTTAGGATATTTTAAAAGCAAACTTTTATTGCTACATTTCTTGTCCAAAATTGCAAAAAGCACATCTTTTTTACAATTATGTCAAATGTCCCTTTTCAGAGAAACTGAATATAAAGCAAGAACTGGAAAGTTGCAATGGCAAACTGGCTATAAATAAACATTTATTATGTTATATTTTATTTAAAGAATTTAGGCATGGCTTGTAAAAGATAAAAATATGCTTGGATGTGAGAATGTTCCTTATAGAGTGAGTTTTCACTTTGTGGGAAGAGGCCTTTCAGTCATCTCTGGTGGTTACACTAATGCCTTTGCCATCTTAACATTTCTCTCAGAAAAACATTCACTTTTACTGGTGTATTCTATTTCATTACCTATACAGCTTGTTCTTAATTATTAGTAAGATTTTGTTACCAGCTACTCCGGGTTTGTCCTCCTTGCACACAGGGGGCATAAAAAAGTGGAGAAATGTCAACTCTTTCAAGAAAACTGATGTTTTGGGGGTATTTTATTTACAATACTGAAATGTGTCTTGGAATTCAAGCCTGGAACCACTGGGTGGGGCTGTACAAATGCCAAAGACTTCTGCCTATGAGTTTGTAATATGAGCATGAACTAAGAGACAACTCATGGATACAAACCAAGAAGGAGTAGTAATATGAGGAAACAATGGGATGTTGGATGATAATCGTTTATCAAAAGAGCAACTTGGCTTTTGAAGACCAAGGGAGCAAAAATTTTGAAACAGAGCAATGAAGTAGCTCTGTTGATACTTTTCAGGATGTTTTGTGTGCAGAAGAGCACCATAAGAGAAAACTTTGCAATCCTCCTGGAAGGAAAGGAATACAGTACAGTTGGATGATGAAAGATGCCAACAGAAAAGGATAGATTATGAAGCACTGAAGAAAAAAGGAGCAGAAGACCATACAGATTTTTGGCCTGAGATGGCTTCAAATCCTTTTAACTTTTCTTCTGTTAAAGAACTGTATTGTGGAACATTGGGCTTAAAACATCCATCCTATGTACAGTATATTTATTACACTTTATCAGAAAAGTTGCATGTTAGTCTGACTTAGTAATTTATGTTATCTTTCAGTTGCAGTAACTACAGAATCCAGATGATTTAAAGATCGAAACTTCTGAGAATACGTCTGATTCTTTCCTTCTGTGTGTCAGGTTGTTGAAAATTTCACTCTGAATGTCTGCTGCCATGCTTAATTAGCAAGCAGATCATAAGTGAAACTGCTTCTTCACCAACTGTGACCAGCAGGTATTGACAAGAAAACCATGTAAACTCTACAAATGACTGCTGGTGTGCTTAAAACAGCAGAAAAATATGTTCACTTCAATGTCCCTGGGGCATTTAACTTTGTATTAGACAGCAGCTTTTACTGGAAATCTGAGCACAGCGCTTGTGAACCTGCAAAAATCTATAGGTAATGTTCCAGCTGTTTGAAAAAGCCCCCACACACTTGTTGGTAGAATGTTGTCAATATTTAACTCAGTAAGTTCAAAACTTTTCTTCTAGGGGATATAAAATAAAAAGAAATTGTTCCTTTTTTCGCTTTTCAAAATTGTTTTGGATCTATTTTTGGTACTTTTTTGCTTCCAGGTATAAGGACTAAAGCCTTAAAGCAGTCCTTTTGTATAAGTGCAAGATCTTTCACTCTCTACCACCATGAAAATTTTAATTTGTCTAGTAAAATTATTCTCATAAAGGATTAAAAAAAAACCAAAAAAACACCAAAGTTTGGGGGAAAAAAAAGTTAGCAGCCTTAGTTAATCTGTATTAAGTTCTGGAAAGAGTTGTAGCCTTTGCAAGAAAATCCTGTTGGTTTTTATGCTGTTAGGAGAGAATTAATCTTTTATCCTAATTGCAACCAACTGGGATTCCCAAATCATGCTTGTAAATAAACTGTTATATTGACCCTTCAGTGCAAGTCAGGATGCAGACAAGTGTCAAGAGCCATCTGGCTTGGCTTAACCATAGAATCCTCATTTGTGAAGGTGTTAATTTCTTTATCATTAGATCCTTTGGCTTCAACAAATCTAGACCCACTGGGAATACTTTGCATTATAAATTTGTATTAAACCACAGTCCACCCATGGGAGATATGTGTGTGTGTGTATATTTATATATATGTATATGAAAATGTATGTCCTGTATCAAAAATAAGTGAAAGTAAGATAAATTTATTTAGCATACACTGCACTGTGTTGGAAAATTCAGTGCATTTGTACTGTTCTTAATTGTGAAGTCCTCTGCAACTTACTAATTTAGGAGCACTGGTGATCAGTTATGCAGAATTATTCTTTTTATAAAATTAAAAACCAACATACATTTTGTATGCCTAGTCACAGAGATATGTGTGCATTGTTATCATCTGCATGAGTTCAAGAGGACCATATTTGCAGATTAAAACTGGGAAAGAATTAATCTTACCGACCAATATCAGTAGACTTTTTGCTATATTGAATAGTAACTGCAATTTGTAACAATATTTTTGTAGGTTGCCTAAGGAAGCTATGGAATTTCCGTCATTGGAAATTTTATAAGATCAGGTTGTACAAACATCTGTCAAGAATGGTTTCAATATAGTTGATTGTGCCTTGAGGCACAGAGGCAGACTTAGTGACTTCTTGAGGTCCCTTAATCTCAGTGTTCTGTGATTCTGTGGCATTATGATGCCATGTATTATAGACATGTATATAAAAGTTACCCAGTTATAAAAGTTTATTTGTTCTATTTTATCCCACTCCCATTTCTTAAGGTTGGGGGATTCATGTGTGTAAGTAGAAAAGAAAGGAGAATGGTTCCTCATTAATTATGGAAATTTTTACCATTTAATTGGATTATGCATTTTAAGATCTACCTTGAGACTGAGTGAAAGGAAGACATAAAAGTAAAGCAGCAAGACTTGCAAGTTTGTTTAATCAATCTTTCTTATTTAAATGTGTTTTAAATTAAATGCATCTCTAATGACAGGACTAAGTATTCTTATGACAAGTTTATGAGGAGTAAAGACTGACATTCCCTGAAAGGAGACTTGAATGTTAGAAGTGACAGTGGAGAGAGTTTAGTGTGAAGTCCCAGTCATGCAGAGTGCTGTGGATTTATGATTCCTATTAAATTCAACATGGTCTTGGGGAATGTAAAAGAGTTGCAGTGACAATTACTGCTTTACACAGTGGACTGTCTTGTGCCACAGCTTCTCCATTTGTGCATTTATAACTGTGGATGAAAGAGCTAGAATAACATACTAATTCAGACTGTTCTTCTGTGAAGTTCAAAATGTACATTTGTAGCCTCTCACTGCTGTGTTGTAGCTTTGTCCTGTTGATGGAGGGAGCTGTAAAATTACCTTCAGGACTTTTCAAAACTATAGATGGCAAGAGATGGCAGCAACAATGTTTATGCCTATGCAGCTACACCTGCAATTTATTATCAACTTCCCAAGAACCCAAGGGAGGTGTTAATTAACCTGAAGTTGAAAAAGTATACTGTTATGTAAGATGGGAAAGCTGACAGATAAGGAGGAGAAAACACAAGGCGTTGCTCCTGAGGTCGTCAGGTCTAATAATGGAAAATTAGATCTCCATCAGACAAAACAAGAAGTTGACTGTTCTCCCAGAGCCCAGATAAGTGTCCTAACAGGGGCCCTTCAAATACTTCTTAATGACATACCACTTGCATTAAACCTTTAAATGTTTCAGTTTTGGATTTCTACAGAAGGAACATCAGTCAGAAAATTTTGGAATGAATATGGTTTTGCAGTAGTGATCTCCAGTACAGTGCAACTAATATAACTTAGTTGGTATGAGAAACACAACATAGCTTCTTTATTGCAAGCTACTCTAAGCTTGCTAGAATTAACTGAAATTAAACCTCTTATGAAAGTGAAGCAGTAGTTTCACTGCTAGAATAGAATTGAATTATCTTGAGTCTTGGATTATGCCTTACAGTTAACTCATCTTTCAAGTGTAGTAACAATTTTCATCTGTGCATATACATGTCAGTGTTAGTTGTTCAGTTGAAGATATATGTTATCTTGGGTTTAATATTACTGAGTTCTGATTTTTTAAAGTCAATATTATTTGATATTATTACTTAATATATATGTTATTAAAATACGTCTGCCATTAAACATTACCTCTTGAGAATGTTCTTTAAATACTGTACAATAATAGACTGAAAGTATTTAGGTTTTTGCAACTGACCCATTTTTAGAAATTTTTGCAGCATTTGCAGATTCAGAATACAAACAGCTACCCTGTTTATAGAACACTCATTAAAAATGAAGTAGCAATGAAGTATAGAACAGTTAAGAGGTCAATGAAAGTCCCTGCAGCCTGGGATTAAAGTATTGCCTTTAATTGCTGTACTATATACAATTTTTCCTCAGTAGGATTAAAACCTGGTAATATGTAGGCAACATAAGTTGTTCATTACCTCAAATCTACATACTTGGTTAACTTGCTTATTCTGAGTAGACATACTAAAATAATAAGTGCTGACAATGTAAGCACATAAACAAATATCCACGTTCAAAGAAACTAATATGAGAAAGTATTTTCTCTTGCCTTGAAAAATATTTAACAGGCATTTTTTAAAGTACTTATTAATTTTATATGCCTCTGTTCTTAGCTGTTTGGTGTAGTTATTATCAGGTGATGTGTACCTTGCTGCTCTTGGTAATATTGGCTATATTTGTAGAAGTCCTACATTTGTGAAATCTTCTATATTAAAGGTTGTCTATTTAGAAGAGATGAATTAAAATATACTGGAAGCTTCTGAAAATGTTGTCCTAAGGTTCCATTAGGGAACTTTAAGACTCCATATCTATGGAGGCTTAAAACCTTGTGTGTCTGAATCTAATTTTTACAGGAAATTACTAGTTTGAGCCTTTTTGTTCTGGTTTGTTCTTTTTGTTCAGGTTGCTCATTTGTTACGGTTAATCAAGTATTTAAGAATGTGTGAGCAATTCCAATTAATTTTGAAAGGGAGCTATTAACATGAGCCTTAAGGTGTACACTTGCTGAAGTTCAGGTACAATGATCTAGTTAAAATATCCCAGGACTTGATGTGAAGATACGTCAACTGAAGGAGTTGTTGCTGAAATCACAGCATGATATGGAAATAAATAGATATATATTGCCTGGTGGTCTTTCTTAGGTACTAAACTTTTTGCTAACAACGTAATATAAGCAAACACTTTTAGGCTGAAGTATGACTTTTTTACCTCAAGCAATTCTGATGTGTGTCTAAATTCAAGAATGTGACAGAGCTTTGTTGGATATCTCTTTTCAGTCATGTCTTGAATAGAGAGAAAAAGTGAAAATATAGTTCTAAAAGTTAGCTGAGATATTGACAACTGATCTTCAAGAAAGTTTCAGAGAGGTTGTCTAGTCTTAATCAAATAATAAAATGTCAGGTGTAAAGACATTTATGGGTTTATTAGCATTATTTAACCCAACCTTATGAACTGTTCCAAAGCTATCAGACTCAGTGCAAATAATTTCCAGTGGCAGGTGGAGTTTGTATACTTATTGTAGAGGATGTTTACTGCAGAAACCTCAGCAAATCTCAGCAACTGAATTGATGCTTTCATCTAGACCACTTCCAAAGCAGTGTATTGGCATCTTGAACTGTCCGCTTGTTTTTGGTTTTGGACTTCAGTACTAAATTAAGACCCTCTAGGATACAAAAAGGTTCCATTAAGTTGTTCTAATTCATTTGACTCTGTCTTACAAAGCGATTTGTAAAAGACATAAGACTAGCATTGTTTCAAATGCATTGGGAACACAAAGCCTGTCTTTACACAGCAAAATTTGCAGCTCATAGTAAGTTATTCAGACTAAGAGAAATGAAAGCCAACTGCAAGGAAGCACCTCAGTGATACTGAATGATAAAGTGACAAGTTAAATTCACTGTAAATAAATGTAAAATAGTTCTCAAAGGGTAAAAAAAAGTCCTTTTGTGCACAAGAATGGACTTCAAACCGACTATATCTTCAAGAACTTCACTGTGAGATTATGTATTCACGGAGTATTCAGTGAGCTATGAAAATAGTAGCAGTAAACAAAAAAAGGAGCAAATTTAATATTAGACATTTTTAGAAAGAAATAGAATCAATTAGAGAACATCATGCTTACAAGCAGTCACAGCACTGCACCTGCATCTTGAATAGGTAAAGAGAGGAATGAGTAGGATGAGCAAAGGATAATTAAATAAATCTTTCAAACAAGGGACAAGTAGGAGAAGTTTTCAGTTTGGGAAGAAGAAAGTTGAAGAAGGCTATGACAAGTTTATTAATTCATGAGTGGTGAGTAAATATATTATGAGTGATTTTTCACTGACTCTTCTACTGCAAGGACTCTGGGCATTAGATGAAACTAGTACGTGGTATGTTTAAGTGAAAAAAAAGGAAATATTCTT